TAAATTTACACGAAATAAATACGATAGTATTATTCAAATGGTGAATGGAATATCTTAGAGTAGAAACAAGAGTTTTCGATCATATTTAAAATCGTTAATGCCATTTCCGCCCATTTCAATTTCCCTTTATTACACTTATGAATTTAAAACGTATCATGATGAGCTAAAGAAAAAGATTTGATGCATGAGTTTCATATGATCCATGATATTTTACAAAATTGAGATATAATAAATGAAAAAAGCATTTGAACTTTATCTGTTTACCCCTCTACTTACTGTTACGATTTAAACACACACAATACGAAGAACGATGAGAAAGAATAGTTTGGTAACCCAGTTTGCCAAGAATGTCTACGTCTTGGGGCGCTATCAAGCCGGGATGTTAATATTATTTTCCGATGATGATTACAAGGAGAGAGCGTGTAATTTACAATTATAGAGAATAAAACCAAACCCCAACAATAAAAGGACGCGCAACCATATACAAAATGACCCAAAAAATTTCGACGGAATGAGCTTGATTATACAGTCTCTAACACCTTACACTTACATGCAATAACTTACGAGTATTAAATTATTTTAAATGGTAAGTGTGTTGATGATATTAATAAACAATGAATAGGATTTGTTAAAAATTAATTTGAATGGTAGTTGGGTAGATAATATGTAAAGCCCATAAAAGTTGGACCAGGTGGCAGAATACTATTTTAAGAATCGTCCTATCCTAAAATTAGAACGAGCTGCCCCGCCCTTGTTTAATTTGATATTAACATCCAAATTGAATTATCTTCCCTAACCTACCCAAGGTTTGAATTAGTTCCCATTTTGTGCACCCAACAACCTAAGGTACCAACTAAAACAACGAGTCTTAAGCAAGGCATACGCTTCTTCTTTTGATTTTAAAATGACAAAAGTCTACTCGACAAAACATCGATAGTTTTCAGGGTATCCATATCGGTGCAACTTAATACTTATACTCGTATAAGCTTAATTATAAATTCGGTCGAAACTTCGTTAATAACGTTTTCTCTTGCATTCTAGCACCACCAATAAAATACATTCAACATACTTTTATTACATATGAATTTAGTAAAAACATTAATTAAATTATTATAAGTAATGTTTTCCTATAATTTTTTTCATAATAGTTATGAAATTATTTGAAGTTAAAAAAATTAAATTTTTGTATTTTTTGTTACTTTTCTCGGTTAGTAAAAAATAAAATGAGCATGTAGGATAATATTATTTTTTAGGTGTATTTAAAGAAATACGAAACACAATTTTTTAACTCATGGTGCCTCCACAAACATGTGAGTCCTCTCAATAACACAACAACATCATTTTATTATTTTATATCTCTATGCAACTGGAATGAAATATTTGGGTACACAGATATGTTAGAGATGACACTACAACATTTTTGGGCTATGGCAACACCAATTATTTTAAAACTCATAAAATTGTTGCTTAATGCTATCATAAGCTACATTTTTTTAAAGTGTTGCCGAAGTATATAACTTTTTGTTTTTTTAAAATGCATCACTATAATACCGTTCCCAAAGAGTAGTTAGCAACGGTTTTTTTTTAAATTAGTTTTCCACACTTAAATATTGTTGCCATTTAATCCTGTTAATTTTTTTTATAACAAAACCGTACCCGGTTCTTTTCATTTTTCCGCGCGAATGATTTGTTGAGCCGGCTTTTATATTTTCGTTAACCGCCCTGCCTATACCAAAACAAATCACGCGCAAGTTCAAAAAATTAAAAGAGGAATGCTTCGCTTCTTCTAGGTTTACAATGGATCACTCGATTAGATCGCTTCTCAATCTGCATCTCGTTGTTTCCTCACAGATTGTTGCCGAATTCACCGTCTCCAGTGCACACCAACCATTCTCGCTCTGAAGTTTAGTCTTCCAGGTAAGTTTTTTTTTACAAATTGGAGTTTGTTGATTTTTCGTTTTTATTAGAAATTCGAGTATGTTTAGTTCGTAAAGGTCTGTTCGCATTATATATATATATCTACGTAAAGCTCTAAACAGTCCAATTCTGAAGTTGATTTCTCTTTCTCCCAATAGGCAGACCATCTTTGTTCGTAATTGTGCTATGTGAACTCTCGAACTATGTGTTCGTAAATTTGCTCTGTGAACCCCATGTGTCTGGAACTCTTTAACTATGCTCTGTGAATCTATCGTATAATTGTTTTTCATAGTATAGCTTTCTCTATACACACTTGTGCTAGGTATGGAGTGTATATCTTTTAAATTGATTTACAGTTTACACCAAATTTTAACACACTTGTGCACCAGGAAACTACAAAGAAAAGAAAAGCAAGGACATATTTCTTAAAACTTCTTGTGTATGTATATAATAATATATATAGGATCTTATGAGTATCACATGCTCTTATAATAATATAAATAGGTTCTTAAAATTGTTTCTACCTTTTGCTTATAATATGATAGTAATAGATTGTATAAACAATCTTCCCACCCATATGAAGAAAGCTTCTCAATGAATAACATCATACTATAGGCTGCCTGCTGGGATTATTTTTTTGAAGCATATAAATACTTGAAGATTGTTTGTTTAAGTACCCATAAAAAAATTCTTTAAGAAGAAAAAGGCTGATCCAAAATGTCATGTGATGTCACTAGATGAGTTTATTGATAAGAATAAGAAACAACATGAGCTTGATGAATCTGGATCTGAATATGGGGAAGATATTGACATGAACTTGGAATTTGAAAGGGACATGAACCATGACAGTGAAGGCATTGAGGAAAATGCTCCTACAGGTAATATCATGACATATTTTTTTGTTATAAATTTTTCTTTAACTAGCATTTTTTAATCTATATCACATATGATTAAATGAACTATTTATGTCTTATCAATTAGGTGCAAAATCAATAAGAAAACGTGGAAAAACATTGTGTCTAAAGATTCATGCACGAGGGCTTGAAGATAGAAAGGATATCATTTTAAATGTAGAAGGGCAACCTGTTGGTCCAGATGAACAAACTCTTTCTGAACTGAGCAGTTTTTTGGGAACAATAGCAAGAAGCTCAGATTTGTGCCCTCTTATCTATACTAATTGGAAGGCTGTCGACAAAGGCCCTATATGGGATTATGTTAATGTACTGATTAAGACATCTAATATTTCTTCATACTTACCCATTAGCTCTCTTTTAAATTATTTCTTTTGTTTGCAGAAAAAATACCACATTCAAGACAAAGGGAAAAAATATGTGTATGCTGTTATTAATGATGCTTGGAGGCGGCATAAATTCTCCATCAAGAAGGATCATTTTACCAAGTACAAATGCTTGCGTGAGCGTCTGAAAAACCGTCCTAAGGAGATACCAGAAGAACATTTCAGAGCATTAATAGAATATTGGAAGCTAGACACCGTCAAGGTAAAATATGCTTTCAATTTAGAATTTAACTAGTTGGTACATATTTATTAGTTAATAATATGTATTCCTTGGACCATTATTAGGAAATTAGTCATCGAAATGCAGAAAATACAGCTCAACAAAAATGGAGGCATCGAGTTGGTCCAATAAGCTTTGCTCGTATAAGGGAAAGATTGGTATTCTAATTTCTAAATTCTGAAATAAGATATTTGTTGGTTAAACTGCAGCATGTTATTCATCTTATTACTTCCCTATATAGCGTGCAAAAAAGCAGAACAAAGAATCCCCTACTCGAGCTGAAGTGTTTATTGAAACCCGACAAGTTAAGAAAGGCAAAAAGTTGGATCATGAAACAGATGGTGCAATTGTAAGTTTTACTCAGCCTTTTTTTTTGCAAGGTCAGCCGTTTTATCTCTTTCAAATAATGATCAAAATGATTTATTACTTTGGACTTTCAAATATGATAGATAAAGCTTCAAGATTTGATTGTAAATTCTGGAAAGTCTTCGGAAGAAGCATTTCAGAGTGTGTTTGGAAATGAGAAACCAGGGAGAGTGCGATGCCATGGAAGAACTACAACACGTTCTCTCTTGAAAAAAAAAGGAAGAATTGGCAGAAATAGAAAAAAAGCATGCCAATGAGGTGAAAATATTAAATGATAAAATTCAAGAGTTAGAGGAAAAATGTGCAAGACAAATGGCAGCATCAGAGGAAAAAAATCGCCAGGAGATGACATCAATGGAGCAAAAATTCCAGTTTCTTCTAACCATGCTAAATCCTAACAAGTCTGAAATTGATTTGGACTCCTTTGCAGCTTTTCTATCAACAACGACCAACAAAAACAATGAAGTAAGATTTCCTTTGACTTTAAAGAATCTTCTATTTTACAGTTTTTAAAATTGTAAGTTAATTTTTTATTTCAGAGTTTTTTTCACTAAAGGAAAATCCACGTTTCATAGCTTCCTGTGCCTGCTGTCCCTATCCCAAGGGGAAATTCTTTCAAAGTGACCATGAAAAGTGATAGGATTTGGTAGTATTTCAGAGAAAAGTAGCAGAGATTAAAGGAGTAAAATGGATGGAAGAGATGTTTATTGAAGAAAGAGAAACTCTGCAGGGAGAATACAAGCCAGGGGACTATTCGAGGGCCCAACCTCCAAGCCAAACCAAAACCAAATAACAGCCTACCTATTTTAGTTGCTCCCCTTCTATTTATAGTCCATATCCACGCAGGGATAAAAGGAACTATTAACTAATAATAGACTTCTTATCCTTTCTATTATACTCGGTAAGGAATAGGCCCATTAATTATTTAATGAATAGGCCCAATCCTTATTTATTCCTATCAATACTCCCCCCCCTAAACAACCACCTTGTCCTCAAGGTGGGTGATAGGAGTCAGCCATGATCTCCCACTTGCACTTCATTCTTGCACTTCTCCCCTCCCAGTACTTGACTGCTTGCTGGACTAGGAATTTTAATACCAAATCTTTTGGTATCACATACATTTCAGCAGTTGCTATCTTCAATATGAAACAGGAATTCTGATCTTTAATGGAAAATTTGTACAGTTGATTAGTTTCATAACCAGGTTTCAAGATTTTCTCCCCCAACTTGACTGCACTTTTCTTTACTGTCACCCCCAGCTTTGCATCACATTGGTTGAACATGTACTCTTCAATTGTAATAAACTGTGGATCATCCTGCACCCAAGATTTTGTCAAAGCCCCCAGATTTTTTTCCAGACTTCCAGCACAAGCCACACTCTTTTCATTCACAGATTGTCCTTCACAAAACATAAAATACCCCACACCAGTGTCCTGCAGAATCTGAGTCATGGTTTTCAATGATATCTCCATGGAATTCAGGTGTGGATCTCCTTGAATCTGCTGAGCTACCCCCTGAACCTTCCATTTAATACTCTGCTTCTGAAAGTTTATCTCCACATTCCCCAAAGTAGTCAGCCACTCCATGCCCAACACTAAATCAGTTCCTTCTAAATTTAACATATAGAACTTTTGCTTTATGTTAGTACCCTGCATACACAAAGTCAGATTCTCACATCGACCGTTGTTGGAAACCTTCTCTCCATTCCCAATTTGAACCTTGTACCCCGGGGTGGTAGTATAAGGTAGTTCCAGTTGTTTCACCAGGTTTTGGGAAATGAAGTTGTGGGTAGCCCCACTGTCAATGAGTACAGCAACCTCTGCCTTCCCTTCAGCCCATTCTAAACTCCCATTGACCTTGAAAGTCCTCAGAGAATGTATCCCTTCCTTACTCATAACAGAAAGTTGCATGGACTTAAATTCCATGGTAGTTCCTTCTTCAGCTTTAATTTCTACCTTTGCACCTTCTATGTCTTCCTCATTATCAGAATCTTCCACCATTATGAGTTTATAATTCTTTAGTTTGCAAGAGTGTTCTTTGTTCCATTTTTCTCCACACTTAAAACAAAGTCCCTTCCTGCTCCTGTCCAGATATTCTTCTTGTGACAGTTGTGGCCCCACCCTCCTGATGTCTGAGGGATTTATTTCAGTCTCCTTCTTTCCCTCAGGAGTAAACCAGGATGGGTTACTCTTGTTTTCTGCAGCATTCTTCCCACTTGTGCTGGGCCATGAATTACTAGATTTAGACTTGTATCCTTCTCCCCAAACTGCTGGTTTATAAGTGATAGGTCCCTTATCCTTCCAGTTTGATTTATCTTCCTCCTTATTCCGAATATAGAGGGCCTCATTCCTGGTCTCAATCAACAGTGATGTATCCATAATTTCAGCCAGGGACCTGGAATTGAATAGTTTCAGTTCAGACTTAATTTCCGGCTTAAGCCCATTAATGAAAATTCCCCTCAGTATATCCCTGTCAAAATTTCTTTGCGGAGCAATAACCATCTCAAACTCTTCTCTGTATTCCTTCACAGTACCCCGTTGTTTAAGACTCAGCATTGGTCCATAAGGGTTTTGGATCAAATCAGGTTGAAATCTGCGTATAATGGCTTCCTTCAAAGCTTCCCAGTTCCGCTCCTCCGTTTGGGTCTCCCACCACTGGAACCAGTTGAGGGCCCGTTCTTCCATAGCGACAACAGATGCTTCTACTTTGTCACCTTCCTCAATTAGGTTCAGCCGGAAGTACCTCTCCATCCTTACAATCCAGTTATAGGCTCCATCTCCGTTAAACAAAGGTAGATCTATTTTTCTACCCGTATGGAGGGGGAGCCTGTTATTCTCATTACTTCTCGGATGATTATGATGGTGCGAGTGAACTGAGTTACCTCTCGAGTGTGAAGGGCTGTGTGGCGTTCACGATCGACAGTGATGCGGTGATCGCGATCGACGATGATGTGGTGTCCGCGATCTCCCTCTGGAGGGCTCCCTCCTGTTCTGATAAGCTGCCATGGATGCCGATATGCTGTTCTGGATCTGCTCATTCATCGTGACAGTGAGATTCGCGATGGTAGTTCTCATCTCCTGCTCAAAGGCCTCCATACGATGTTCCATCTTGGCTCTAGTTTTTACCATCCACCAAGTACGTGTGAGCTTCTGTGGACGCCGCAGTTCTGTTCCGATCCCCAGGAGCTTACGCTCTGATACCAGTGATACGTAGGGTACAAGCAACGGGACTGTTCGAGAAGCCCACTCTCCAAGCCTAAATGCCAATTCAATAACAGCCTACCTATTTTAGTTGCTCCCCTTCTATTTATAGTCCATATCCACGCAGGGATAAAAGGAACTATTAACTAATAATAGACTTCTTATCCTTTCTATTATACTCGGTAAGGAATAGGCCCATTAATTATTTAATGAATAGGCCCAATCCTTATTTATTCCTATCAAAAAGAAAAACTCCTCAGTGTGATTGAAGAAAACATTTTTAAATTTTACTATGTTTGTGTTCTTTAATTTCCGATATGATTATCCTTGTAAGGTCCCAACAATCAGTTCTCTAGTAACCATTATGGGTACTTGGGTCAAGTCTTGCCTGGTAAATTCTTTTATGGGTACTTCAGCGATTAATAGGCATACACTTCTTCCCCTGCTCTTTAAAAACGATATTTGTTCATACTTGCTGATATGCATTCCAGATTTGCCTATGTAACTTTCATTTTAGGTGCTAACAAGGTAAAATAGAACTGCCCCTAAGGTAAACATGTTAACATGTATTCTTATTGCGAGTTTAATTATTTTGTTCTTCTATTTTGCTTGTTTCGTTGGATTCTTTATTGGACTAAGTGCAAAGCTATATGATATTTCAAAAAGAAAAATAAGTGCAAAGATATATGATATTTCAAAAAGAAAAATGAATACTAATCCGTGACTCCGTGAGGGCGATCTAACCATGAATTGAAAGGTTAAATTGGTTATCTGATATTTGAGAACATCTCATGCTGAAGTGTTGAACATGGTTACCCTTTAGGTTATTTGCTACTTGCCCAGAATCAAACTTGGGAAAAAAAGTTCTAGTAGCACATCTTACTAACCAATTGAGGTGTACTAAATGTCACGGGGCTTATATGTAGTCTTAGTATTGAGTAGTTTTTAATGTAGACATGCTATGCTTTTGATTTGAGCTTATTTATTTGCTTCATATTTTTATTCTTTATAATTAATTTGGGTTAAGCTTTGATATATGTTTTTATGTAGATGGATGATGGCATTGATGAAGAAAGTGAAGATGAAGATGTAGACAATGACACTTGAATGTGATTTGATAAAGTTTTATTTCCATTGTTGTTTTCATTTTAAGTTCAGTGTTTAAACACTCCCATTGTGATGAATTACACTTTAAAGACAGATCATGGATGTTGATAACTAGGCATGATATTGTTGAACTGTGATTTGTAAAGATTATTGTTGAAGTAAATTCTACATTTTCTCCATTGCAAAGTATTTCATAAACAATTTTTAAGAAATTGGCTTTCAAATTAGTAGTATGGTGCTTTGTAGCAATGTTTGAAGAAAATGGTTGGAATATTTTTGGCAACAGTTTGTTTTGGTTACTATTGATAGAAACAAATAAAAATTGTTGTCCTATATGTTTTAAAAAACTGTTCTCTTAGCTATACTCTTTGACTACGGTTTTTCCATTGTGTTGCCCTTAAATATCAAAACTGTTCTCTAATGTATAGGCAACGCCTTACATTACCACAGTTTTAAAACTGTTGCTAAAAATAATGGCAACGGTTTTTTCCCATTAGGCAACAGTTTTCCGGCGTAGGCATAGATCTAAAATGTTGTAGTGTGATACGTGTTCATTTACAGATCCTTATTTCATTTTAGAAAATAATGAATTAATATTGAATTTACCAGAATTAATTTGAGGCAAATTTTAACTTGTGATAAGGTAACCATATCACGATTTTGTTTTCCTAGTATTGTTTGATCTCTTAAATGGGTTTTAGTCCCTAATATAGCTATCCCTCATTATAGCCTTGAGATTAGTACTGCGTATATGTTATCAATATAAACCCCGTTATCCATTCTCTCTCAAAAAATGTAATGATGTATTTTAGACATATATATGTGTTGGTCCCGTTTAATATGGTAACCAGTCTAGAGGGGGGGGTGAATAGACTGGTTCGTTTTTCAAATTTTCTCTAAGTCCGAAGTGACTTATCAGAGAAGGTCTGATTCTGATGACAGAGAAAGGCTGGTTCTGATATCAGAACTGGCCTTGGCAGCGGATTCTGATCTGTCCGGGTAGCCTCAGAAACACTAAGGCAGATGCCTTTCTGATAACTCTGAAAACAAGATCTGCTGAACACAGATTCCAAGTCTTAGAGTTACTCAGTTAATATCCTAAGTGCAGAAATATAAATTGCAGTAAAGTAAATGACACCGGATATTTTATAGTGGTTCAAGGGACAACTCGTTCCTCTAGTCCACTGTTCCACTAGCTTTGAAGTAGATCGGTTACAAAGCTTAGTTCCTAGCACTTAAGAAGTTCTCCACGCCTTCTTCAAGTCTAGCTGCCACCCAGGATGCAATTCCACGTCCTGATGGCTGGTCCTTTCACTCAGCTTCCCGGAAGTATCACCACTTCACTACTGCAGTTACTTGGACGCCCTTCTTTTCAGAAGATCCTTTAAAAAACAGAGTTTTTCCTCCAACTTGCTTCGTTACAAAGGATGTTTGATGAAGTTCTTGAAGTGTTGAAGAGCAGGATGAACTTTGCTTGTTTGTTGGGGATGAAAGATTTGGAGTTTGAATCTTCCCAACGTAAGCTTGTCTTGTTGAAGGTTGTAGAATTTTAAACTCAAGAGAGCTTGAATGATGATGAGCAAAAGTTGTAGCAAAGTTATTTTTCTGTTCTTCGGTGTGTAGCTTATATACTGAGGTTGTCTGCCCGTTGGAGGAGGAGACAACTGCATTAAATGTGCGTACAGTTGACTTGACCGCCGTTTTGGAAGGTTTCTATTTTTATAATGTATCTTCCCGGATTCCTTGGTCAATCATTTGCAATCAATCCTTCAGCGTATCAGGCTCGTTTAATGTGCATTAAATGCTTTCCTTTCATGCACAGTCTTGTAGCCGTTGAATGTTTTTACCCGTTGAATTCAGAGCTGTTGGATGTTGCTTGAAAATCTCTAAGTGTTCGTCGAGCTCTGATCAGGTTCTTCTGATATGTTGGATTCTGATGGCTATCTGATGAGTTGAGTTCTGATGGTCTTCTGATCTCTGACTGAACTCTGACTCTGATAGGTCCGCTGATGAGTACTTCTGATCTGTAGATCTCATCGGCTATCAGATGTCCAGTCTTATCAGCAACTCTCATGATACACCTCTGATGGGCTTCTGGCAAGAGAACTCTGATGGAGTAGTTCTCATAGAGCAAGTCTGGTCGAGCAGTTCTGATGCACTTCTGATCTGATCCAAAATAGAGCAACTCTGATCGTCGACTACACTAATACTTACAATTGAAAAGTTTAATACATGAAATCTAATTTGGGGGTACTCTAACTTTCTAATCCTATAGCATCATCAAAATCTAATTACATTTATTCCTTACAATTTCCCCCTTTTTGATGATGCCAAAACCCTTAAACTATTTCCAGAGAAGTGCCTTTCACCATAAAGAAAATAAGAAAAAAAATAAACTTTCATTTAAAAACTTGGTGGGCACTTGGCATAGGAGAATAGTAAGAGTAAGATACAATCAATCAGATAAAATAAGAAATAACACAAGATATCAGAGCATAGATAATCAGAATGCAATAGAGAAATAATTTGAAATTGCCATGCAAATTAGAGGCAAGCTGGTTATCTTATAAATGAAAGATATTTAAAGCAACAAGGGGATAGAGTTTAGATATCTTCCTCTTCTAGATCAGCTTCCTTTGCCTCAATTTCCTTCAGATCAGCATTGACCCTAGCTCTGATTGTAGCAAGATTCCTGGGATTCTGATATTCTGACCAGGCAGGTTCAAGCTGGCAATCTAGATAGTTTCTGATGGCTTCAGATAGGTCCTTGCCAGAGATTACTTTCAAACGCCACCAGTCTTCTGCTTCTTGCATAGACCCACCATGGTTGATTATTATTAGCCCATCTTTATCCTGAATGAGATTCTCTTGTTGAGTAGGGGTCATATGCTTCTTCATCTCTCTGAATTGAGCAGCATCAGGTTTAGCCAAGTCACTGTTGAGCCATTGGGCCAAAGTGAAAGTAGAGGCTGTCTTCTTCCCTTTCTTAGACCGAGGAGGAGGAGGTCTTTGAATACCAGCAGCTAGCCTCTTTTGCCTTGCTCTTTCAAAGTACCTAGCAGGGTTAATGGCTCTGGAGCTTGGACCTTCTGCTTCTCTGGGAAGTGGGACAGGTTCTCTTCTATCTTCCCCCTTTTTGGCATCAACAAGATCGCCAAGTAGGAGTCCAATTTTCGAGAATTCTGTAGCATTGTTCTCTTTTATAGCTTCAAGGGTACCTGGCAGAGTCTGAGTTACAGAAGCCAGCCCTTCTATCAGCTCCTTTTGCTTGTCCACAGCCGACTGAATATCCTTGGTAGTAGCTTCAAGGAGGGTCAACTTATGATCCCTGTCCTTTCCACTGTTTATCAATTTGATGTCAAATTCCTTCAAGGTTTTGCAGATGTCCTCTACATCTGTGAGCTGCTCAGCATGCTTATCAGAGGACCATTGAAGATCATCCACAGCATCAGATAGGTCTTGAATAGCCTTGTCTTGAGCAGAGAGAGTCTGAGATTGTGAGAACAGGACCGTGTGCAGACTGGCAACCTCGGAAGCAATGTCATCAACCTTCTCATTGGATGTCTTCATGTAGCTGAAGAAGGTGGTCGACAGTTGTGAGAGGGTGTTGGCGATTTTCTCAAGTCCTGACTCAATGTTGTACTGTACCAAATCCAGATGAGCATCATGCTTCTGATTTAGTACAAGTAGCTTGTTCAGTCCAGCCACCATCTGATCTCCAAAGTCCTCTGCTGATTCCACAAATTCCTGGAAGGGAATGAGGACAGCTTTGGGTGGTTCTGGCTGAGGTACTTGATTGATTTGAGGTTGGGGTTGAG